ACCCCCCCAAAACAAAAACAAAACAACCACAACAAAACAACAACAACAACCCAAAAACAACAACAACAATAACAACAACAACAACAAACAACAACCTCCAAGCAAACAAACAAACAAACAACAACAACAACAACAACAACAACAACAACAACAACAACAACAAACAAACAGCGCTTTAGGTAAAGGTAAATATACCAGGAAGAAGAATTTAAAACTTTCAACTGACTTTAATTAAATGCAGCCTACTTATACACTCTATGATACTCCTGATACTCCTTGCACATGTACTTTGATTTGATTTTAATGTACTGTCTTTCTAAACGTAACTAAATGTGTTCCGAAAGCTGTTGAAATTTATACTCTTCTTTTGCTGTTAAAAGCGTTGGAAATTAATAGCGCATCAGTCCGGTGACAGGTTTTCGGTCAACTATACAGTAGTCAGGCACAATTCGTCGCGCAATTATGAAATATGAACCATGGCAATATAACCGGAGATGTGCTGGTATAACCAAAGATCGTAATAGACAATCTTGGGTATAACTTGTTCACTTTTGTTACAGAAGAGCAAAATACTTAAATGGTAGCCACAATAGCAGCAGCAGCAGCAGCAGCAGCAGCAGCAGCAGCAATAGAAGAAGTAGTAGCAACGATTCTCTACTACATAGAGAATCTTTGGTAGTAGTGGCAACAGCAGGTAAAGTGTTTTTATTTCTTCTGTACCTCCTCTTTCTCGCACAAAGATCCAATGCTCCGTGTGTTTATCTTGATGTTTCTGCTTGTTGAGCCTGGTTTGCTCCTTCGGCAGTCAGGCCTATTTAAAAAAGCCCGTTCGAATAGCCTATGGTTAGTAGTCTGAATGGATTTAAAGATTTAATTGTGTTCTATTTATTTGTAATGACTGCGGATAGCGTCAATTGCAGAGTCTTTCAATTCCAACTTCATGTAGGCCTGTTTTTAATCTCCTGTCTTTCTTTGTCCGAAGTTTTACTTAAGGGTATACCCATGGGAGGCTCTCGTGGTCTGGAGGTTAAGGCGTTCGCCTCTCATTCAATAGGCGCCGGGTTTGAATCCGGATAGAGACGGGACATTTTCTTCTCTATTTTTTTTTCGTTTCACACCCTCCTGCTCTCTAAAAATGATAAAAGTCTGCGTTCGTCTCCACTTTTTGCTCCCTAATCTGGGCTCCTGACTCTTTCTGCTGCCTTTTCTGCTACCCCTTGGCTCCTTCTTACTGCTGTTCAGCCACCCCCTGATCTTATGTAGCTAAGATCTACACCTAGCCTTTTCGGAGATAACTCGGATTGGGTAGGGGCAAAAAATCTCGGAGGTCCCGCGTGCAAGTTGCGCACATTAAAAATAGATAAGAATAGGCTTCGACAGCCACCTGGGCAAAATTCAAAATTTCCGACCAACCGAAAATAGATCTAGAATCTATTTGATGCGTCCGCGCGCCGTTGTTGCGAGCGCCTTAAAACACTTACCAAAGGAGGGTATATAATTTGTGGTCACGCAGATATAGGACTTCCTGTCGACGCATGGACCACTTACTCATTGCAACAGAAATAATAATTGCTAACGCGCATATTGGCCTAGCAAGTCTGACCACAGGACATACAAACAATAATTTTATGTAAACAGACCGACATACAACGCAAACGCTATCGGATATCTGAAGTGAGCGAGCGCCGAGCAGTTTTAGTAGGCCTACATAATAATTTAGAATCTAGATCAGATTTCATTATTTCGCCGCGCGCGCGCGCGCGCGGTGTGTGTGTGTGTGTGTGTGTGTGTGTGTGTGTGTGTGTGTGTGTGTGTGTGTGCCTGTGTCTGTGTATGTGTGATGTGTGTTGCGAGCATTTGAGATACCCTAAGCAGGGAAATCAAAGTCAAAGTGGTCATGAGGGCAGGACTGCAAGTCGAAATAAATCTCGAGATTTGTTTCGTTTTCGCTCGGATATCAACAATACTAGTTTTAGAAACGGATGTAAACACGGTCTGTCCAATAATAATAACGTTTACAAAATTGCACGGGCCACGTCAATCCTGACTCCGCTGGAAGTATTGTTTTGATCTTGGCCCTTGCATTTGTGAATTGCCTCTGGAGCATTTAAGAAATTGAAATCTAAATGAATGCACGCAATAAAACGTTGGCCGGATTATGCATGATGTTTCAAGTAAGGTTTATTCGGTACAAATGTTTGAAATAACACTGAACTTCTCTCCTTAGAATGTGAAACCTGTTATCGATAGAGCCAGGATCTCGAGCAGAAGCTGAGAAAATTATGCAATAATACATGATCAATACCAATTATTGAGGTTGCCTTCTCGTGTTGTTTTGTTACACTCGTCAACATTGCTCTGTGTACCTAAAGCAGTAATATGCTTGCCTTCTTAATCAGGTTCTACTATCTGTATTCGATTGTCACTGTTTTATCTCTAGAATCTACTCTGTTAGTAACTGAGAGGCTGCAAGGCAAAGCTAGGCCTCCTTCCTACTCTGCTACTGAACTGACTGTAGGCTTAACTCACTGTAGACTCTGTAAGTGTGTAAGTTTTTTAATAAGTTTTTAACCTCTGTGTAGACGTCATACTCGCTTGTGATCTCCCAAACTGGTTCTCTGAACTCTGGAATTTTGGCACCTCTGCGGAGTGAGAATAGCGCAGGCCAGCCTTTTGGCGATTCTCACCCAGTGTGCGTTCACCGTGATAGGCTAACCAGTGTAGCGTTCACCATGACCATTGAACAAACGTTCCAGTGATCTTGTGTTGAAAGTATGCAATTTGGTCTACGGGCAGTGAGAGAGAGAGAGAGAGAAGGAGTAGCAAGAACTTCCTCACAAAACAAAATGGCGACCCGTGTAGTGCGGCTCGATTCGAAAAGTAAAATAGCGGTAAAATGACCGAATTAATTTACTTTGTGCTATAACATCATTTTTTCCTTTGTTTTTGAAAATTTGATCGTCCACACCGATAGACAGTATTCAAAAAGAGAGAGAAAGAGGAGTGGCGAGAACTTCCAAGCAAAACAAAATGGCGACCCGCGTTGTTCGGCTCGATTTGAAAAATGAAATAGCCATCTATATAGCATCTTTGTAGACAACCAAATTAGTTTACTTTTAACCTGTAACATCATTTTTGTTTTTGTTTTTGTCATTTTGATCATCCACACCGATAGATGATATTATATCAGAAATTAGGAAAAACAGGTCTTGTTTCACACCGGGTGAGAATAGCCAACGCTGGCAAGTCTCCCCCCGGGATGAGAGGTCGATCGTATTTTTATTCTCACCCAGGGTAAGAATAGCTTCCTTTTTTCTTCTCACTACTGGTTTGAATAGGAAGTTTTTAAATTGCAATTTGTGCAAAGTTGCATTATAATCTCTCTATCTCTCTTGGCCTGGAATGAACACTGTTGGGCACTCTTTGGGAGAAGTGGTTCCTGCCTAACTCCATAGAAATTTATATGCTACGCTATCGAAAACAAAAACCGAAGTCGAGTAAAAAAGCTGGCTGAGTTGCCAGGGTGAAAAAAGGCCACTGGTCTATATTATAAGGTCCAAATCTATTTTAGACTCTTTTCGACACTATTAGTACTATTACTGTTTTTTAGTGTTTTGAGAACGATTTGGCACTATAGTTTTAAATAAACTATCAAAAACCACTATTTTTGTGAATATTGAAAAAATCGAACTTTAAGAAAAGCCTTAAAAAATCAATGAATATTCAGCCAGCTTTTTTACTCGACTTCCAGTTTTGTTTCTAATTGTACAATTATGTATAAATTTCTTTAATGTAGTTAGGCAGGGACCACTTCTCCTGAAGAGTGCCCATTGTTGTAATTGTATTGTTAAGTCTGTAGATTCTAATCACTGTGAGGAATAATATTACAGCTCTTTGAACTTTCGGTTAATGTATTCACACTAAGTTTTAAAAGGGGCAGTGCTTTGCTAAATTACCTTGCTAACTTGTAAAGTCCCTTTTACGGAAAATGACATTGTCAGTATTGAAGATGAAGAAATCGATTTGTAAAATATTGAAGATGAAAAATTCAATTCTAAATCTTCAATGATTTGCTAAGATTAGCCCTTCCTTATACTAAAAAGAGTTTTTAAAAATTTAAAGTTTTTACCTATTGGTCCGAGGAGGAGGGAGAGGTGTGTGCTTGTGATACTTAATGATTTATTAAAAGTGATTATTTTTCTAGATTTTGACGGTGTTTGTTTGGTTTAGTGAAAAACACTTTTTTCCCCTTTAATTGGGAAGAATAATAATTATTTAGATATAGATATAGATATAGATATATATATATATATATATATATATATATATATATATATATATATATATATATATATATATATATATATATATAGAGAGAGAGAGAGAGAGAGAGAGAGAGAGAGAGAGAGAGAGAGAGAGAGAGAGAGAGAGAGAGACTCATTCTAATTTTATTTTGTCTATGGAGATAAAGCCTCATGGTGATATATATATATATACAAAGGTTTTAAAAGAAGCTTGAAGGTTAGAAAATAGCTCCCCAACCTGGATGAGGAACAATTTTTGCCAGGAAACTCTATAACACCAGATCAAGTTCAACCACTCATGACCGAAAATGTATTTTTACGTATGTTTGTTGTACTCTGGTGTTGTGGTATGGCTCTTTTCTTTGCACACGAAAGATGTAATGTAAGTTGGGTTTTTGAAATGGGAAATGTACACATCATTCTATGTTCTATTCCACTCAAGTTAGCCCTGACTTGCTGGTCAAAAAAGCATGCCTCTGAGTTGACCTAAATTTTGTTGATGGGAGCATACATGAATTACATTTTGATCTCAAGTAGTAGTCACACCAGTGTATTGATGAACATCTGTTTATGGCTACAGCAAGATTGATAAGCCCTCCCCCACAAGGAAGTGCTACTGACTGAAGTGTCTTTAGGCCATTCCCAAAGGGGGAATATTAACTTGTTCTTATGCACAGTAGAATTGTAAGTGGGTTGATTTATCAATGTCATGCTCATACTTTGCCGGAACAACATAGGGGGAACTACTGCTTTTTCTTTCCTTATCCTTACTATTGTCATTTTTCCTCTTCTTCTTTTGTATTGTCTCTTGTGAATTGCTATTTTCGGGGTGGCTTGATTGTCGAAGCAGACTTTGTGCTGTTGAGGCTAGAGAGGTGAGCAGAGTAAGCCTGATTCCCCGTTTGGACTTCTCTGTTGACATCCACCCTTTGGCGCTCATATGACGTTATGCAGAGTTGCGAGTGGCGTAAAATCTTACTGTACTAAACTAAAAACAAAATTGATTAAAACCTTAAACAAAAGTCAAGTGTACGCTTTCATATTAGTTTTTATGAACCGATCCTGGTTTCCTGTGTTATAGTCACTATACTAACATATTTTTATTTTGATGGGATGTGAGCAGAGGTATTGTTGGAAGTGAGCCAACCAGACTTACATGGTGTATATAATAGATTTAAACTTGTGTTTTTGCTGACTCTTAGGTTTAGCACTCCATACTACAATTTTCAATGGGGTGTGTAACAGCATCGCCATAACTTCATTACATTGTAAATGTTCTTAGTGGATTGTAAATAAATTTTATTTTCTTTGTCGTTGCTGCTAGGAGTAGAAACATGTCCTTGTGGCTAGTAGTAGTAACTAATAGGTGCGCTTAGGCTTAGGGCTAGGAACTTAGTATTAACAAAAGGAGAAAATAAAACAACCTTGATGTCTGCAAAAGTGTTCTTTCAAATTCAGATTGAAGGAAGTGACTGAGTGATTGGTAAATATATACTGAAAGAGCTGCAAGCTGCATTTGACCTAATTTAAAGAGAAAACCTAAAGGCCACAAGTTGTAGAATGTCCAAATTTGCCTTTTCATATTTTTAATTTAGGTATAACTATTTGATTTTAGATAACTTTGTTTGAAGAAATATTCTTTTACTTGCATCACATTAAATTCGTGCTACAGATTCTTGTATTCATCCATCATCATCATCAATGCCTTTCACCCCTGGCAGGGAAAAGGCCACATACAAGCTCCTTCCATTTATCTCTGTCCTGAGCCATCCTTCCAAGCTCGTTCCAAGTGAGCTTCATTTCTCTCATGTCCCTTTCCATGCATCTCCTCCATGTTTCCCGTGGCCTACCCCTGCCTCGTGTTCCTTGTGGGTTCTACTGCAGTGACTGTCTTGTGATGTTTCCGCTGGGCTTTCTTAAGATGTGTCCCATCCATCGCCATTTTCTTAGTCCTATTTCTACTTCTATATCCTTTTGTACTGTCCTTTCCCACAGCTCTTCATTTCTTATTCTATCCTGCCACTTAATTCTTAGAATACTCCTCATACAACTGTTGATGAAAGTCTGGACTTTATTCAGTACTGTCTTCGTTGTCTTCCTAGTTTTGCAGCCGTAGAGGAGCACAGACTTGACGTTGGAGTTAAAAGTCGAATCTTGGTGTGCAGTGAGATGTTGCTTGCTTTCCAGACTTTTGATAATTGCTTGAAGGCTGACCTTGCCTTGGCGGTTCTTGCTTTAACATCTGCTTCGGTTCCACCTTTACCATCGATATCACTTCCAAGGTAGGTAAAGAGTCCACTTCTTCCAGGGGAGTGTCTTCCACTGTCACAGCAAGGTTTGAAACTTTTCCTAGCTTCACTACTTTTGACTTGCCTGGATGTATATGTAGGCCAACACTCCTTGATAGGCTGTTGAGTTCCTTGGTCTTTTCTTGCATCTGAGCATGTGTGTGAGCAAAGCTGGTTGTAACGGAGTACAAGTACTCCGGTACTTGTACTTACGTTACAATTTTCGGTACTTTTACTGTACTCCGGTACATTTTTGAAACCAGTACTTTTACTGTACTCCGATACTTTTTATAAAAGTGCTTTTGAGTATTTTAGAAATACATTTTGAGTACTTTTGAAGCTTAATGAAAGGGAAAGTGCCGGCATTTCTTATCATAATTTACGGAACAAACACCCGGGCGGGCACAGCCGATCAACCAAGAGTTAAAAGTTGAGATCGAAGAACGGCCTGTCGCGTCAAAAATCAGCCACTATCGTGAAGGTGATCACAAGCGTTGTAAAACTCCATGAAACTGTACAGTGTTTACTCCAGACGGGATCTCACCAAGGTGTGAACTGACCGATGCGTTTCTTTTCCCCAAA